ATGTCTTGCACTATGGGCACAATCTCTGCTGTTATCTGAGAAATTATTTCTGATTTCATTTTTTCCAGATCCTCTTTTGTTTCCAGTTCAGGGAGTCCAGGTGGTTGAGTATCATATTGTTTCATCTCGTTTCCCTTTGAGGTTGCTGTAGGTGATCTAGAAGTCTGGTTTTGAGGCTTGTTTATGTGTCTTCTCATTTCCACGGTGGGGGAGTGTGCTGCTGGCACTCACGTGGCTCACCTTCTCTGCCCTGGGAGCGGTGGAAGGGCAGCTGCAATTTTTTAAAACTCATATTTACTCTATCCAGTTATTATTCAAAATTTGGGGCACAGTAACAAAGCAAGCCCTTCTCTTATTATATTTTGCTCCTCCCTTCTTCCAAAGGGGTGTCTGAAGATGAACCCGGATGACAGATTAACCTGCACTCAACTCCTGGAGAGCCCCTACTTTGATTCCTTCCGAGAGGATCAGGTGAAAAGAAAAGCACGCAATGTGGGCAAAAGCAGAAGGCGTCAGCAGGTACTTCTGTTCCAAAGTTCCAGTGCCAGAAATGTTTTCCCACTTTTCCACCTTTCAGAGTGAGACTAGGTAGACACCAACACGTATTTTCTGGTTTAGGTGCATTTATTTATCTTAATACATATTAGTGATTGATGTAATAAAACATAGAACTATGAAAATCTTATTCCAAGGTTTTTTTGGTTTGTTTTTTTTTGAGGCAAAAATTTGCTGTGTTGCGCAGGCTGGTTTCCAGCTTCTGAGTTCAAGTGACCCTCCTGCCTCAGCCTCCTGAATAGCTAGGACAACAGGTGTCCACCACTATACCCAGTGTGCACTTGAATCAAATCAATACAAACTTTATAGAGTAAAAAACCTGATTTCAACAGAACTATGTTTTATTACCATTCCAGCGGAATTCCAGTTCCTTTCTGTAGCCTCTGGATGTATAGCAGAGGAAACTGGACGCCTCTCACACATGCAGGCAGCTGTTTGCCTCTCCTGGGATATCCCTCGAAACTAAGGGGAAGTTCTGTTGGGTACAAAGGAGGAAACCAGATAGCAGGAACCAGATCTTGTCTTCAAATGGGCCAGTATTGTGGAACAAAATGGTGACTGCTGTGACAAGTGTTAATTCTACAGTTGTTAGGTGACTGTCCACTCAATTTCAGAAAACAAGTGAAAACATAAACTTTATGGAAGTAGGTTTGTTTTCTTTTGTTTTTCCCTCACCTTGTAAAATCCCAGCACCAAAAACAATATCTGATTTATAGAAGGCACTTAGTAAATGTTATCCAAGTCTCTAAATAGGTGAACATTGTATATTAATAATCAAGACACTCATTTTCAATTTATCAGAGGCTGACAGTCGTCAGTTTGTGCTTCCTTAATCTTCCTCCTTTTTAGTCATTTATCCTCTCATTAGCACATCTTCCGTAAAGGAGATTGCTTTTAATCTTTTTTACTGATCCCTTAATGGTTAAAATAGAAATTTGTTAAGAGGCAAAAATCAAACTAATCCATAAAAGGAAATGTTAAATTATTTTTGTGTATCCAAAAATCACTGCATATCCAAAGTATTATTACACAGACCATTATACCTTTTACTTTTAATCTTTTATAAATCAGGCCCAATGCAGCTTGCACTTAACAAAATGATTAGGATTCATTTAAAGAATTTTGTGGTACCTCACCCCAGGAAGAATGGCTGCTGTCAAGAAATCAACCAATAACAAATGCTGGAGTGGGTGTGGGGAGAAAGGAATCCTTCTCCATTCCTGGCGGGAGTGTAGATAGACTGGTGCAATTACTGTGGAAATCAGTACGGAGATACCTCAGAGAACTAGGGCTGGAGGGTCCCATTTGACCCAGCTATTCCCCTGCTAGGTATCTTCCCCAAAGAATTAAAAGAATCATACCACAGCAAGATATGTGCACCCATGTTCATAGCAGCACAGTTTGTAATAGCTAAAGTTTGGAAGCAGCTCAAGTGCCCATCAACTGGAAACTGGATAAAGAAGAGTTGTTTTTTTTTTATAAAATGGAGTACTACTTAGCCATAAAGAATGAGAAACTAGAGACATTTATAGCTAAATGGATGCATATTGAGGCCATACTCTTACGTGAAATAAATAGGACACACGTGTAAACACCAAAGTTTCTCTAGTGTGAGAAACTGAGTGTAAATAAGGGTTAAAATGATTAAAATGAATAATTGATAATTTGAAATAGGAAAAAAGGTCCAAAGATGAAGGTGTGAAGGGAGGGGAAGGGGAAAGGAAAGGAGGGAATGGAAAAATTATGAGAAAAGAAAAAAAATGGAAATGACATCTATGTAAATAGGGAAGGGTGGAGGGGGTGAAGGGCGCACAGGTAATGGGGAAAAAATAAGAACTAAGATACATGTGTACAGGTACAAGCACTCAATGATAAATGTAAATGTATTGTATACCTAAAATGTACCAATAAAAGAATTTAAGAAAAAAAAAATTTTGTGGCAACAGTCTGAAAATACAGTGTGAACTGTATATAGAGACTGTTCGCCCCCTTAAAACCATCTCACATATTCTCCACCATTGGCCTGGAGGGACAACTGTGTCACTGCCCCGCCCTGCCTCTCGGACCCTCTGATTCATTTTCTACTTGGGGATCTACCGTGGCACTGGCCTTAAGGGGGTTGAAGAAGCTGCTTTCCCTTTAAGGCAGGGCAGGCAGTGCCAATTCGGCCTTGATAGCCCGAGCCCAGCCAGTGCCACCCAATGCCACCCAGGACTTTACAAAAGGCCTTCCAAAGCCCCAGGGACAGCGGAAGGAAAAGACCCACAAAGTGCAGCATGCCCCAGATAATCTCATTGACAAAGGTGCTGTGGAGGTCTCACATAGATGTGTCCCTCGTAGATGTCCCTATGGGCTTGCACAGGGAGGGTGTGCAGCGCCACGGCCCGGGACCACGCCTAGGCTATGCCCTCTGCCAGAGAAGTCCCCAGAGTTTGGGGCCAAGAGAAAGACAAAGATGCCTTTCAGGAAAGTTTTTGATGTCTTTTTTGGGGGGAGGGGTACCGGGGATCAAACTCGGGACCTTGCGCTTGCGAGGCAGGCAGTGGAACCACTGAGCTAAATCCCCAGCCCTGTGGAAAGTTTTTGCTTCTCTTTCTGAGAACATTCCTAGGAATTTTACCATATGGAGAAGGAAACTAAAGGTTACAGAAAGATGTTTTCATTCAGTGTGGTTTTACTTTGTGAGTTCAAATCTCTACCTAGATCCCAGCTTCTTAATCTGAGGGTAAAACCATCAACTTCCTAAGACTAAATAGTGTCTGTGGGTGAGAGTAGTGACCTGAAGCCTTTGCTGTTCCATAACTGCCCTAGCTTTTAAAAACCTGAGATAGGCCCAGGGATTTAGCTCAGTGGTTTCGCCACCTGCTGCGCAAGCTCAAGGACCCGAGTTCAATCCCCAGTACCCGAAATAAATAAATTAATTAAATAAAAACCTGAGATGGGTAGAATATTGACTCCTGGAATTATAATGTAAGAGTTGGTGGAGATCTCTCTTTTAAACTTCGACTAGATATGAATAAGTATATTGAAACAAACAATAATATATCATGAGAATCTTAGAATAATTTATAGAGCTTAGATTTCAAGTATCAGAGGGTCACAATGTTTGGAAAGGTAACCAAGCATAATTTTTAAATTGATGCCCTTTAACATCTTTATACTGTGTGTATCCTTTTTGTTTTACCGCCTTTAACTCAAACTGTACCTATAGGAATTGTTTCCAATTTACTTTCTTATTTTTGTCTCATTCTGCTATTAGAATCAACTGTTGCCTCTCATACCAGGAAGCTACGTCTCCCCCACACCTGATGGAAGAAAACAAGTCCTCCAGTTAAAATTTGATCATCTTCCAAACATTTAGGAAAATGTTCTTTCAAGTGTGAAGTAACTTAATATGTACATATTTTTGTACAAGCAAGATAGGAATTCTCAGTGTTTCAAATGCAAATGAGCCATATGAAAATTAAGATGCCTTCTAGAATTTTCTGCTCTGATCATTGCTGGTTCCTCTCCCTGTGCTTTTTACATGCCAACTTTATCTTTCAGAACATTTTCTTTAAATGTTAGAAGGCCTGAAACTGCACATATGGAGGAGACATTTTCAATTTCATCAGAGCAGACCTTCCTTAAACAATTTATGTTGAGAATTTATGGGCTTATAATTTGATTTATGAAAAAGATTTACATGTATCATCTTGCTTCAGCTGACCCCATAATATCTTAAAGCAATATCAAATCTCCTGCCTAGCTCTTGTTTGTATCAGGAATTATAGTATGTTCCTGTATTTTAATTCACTCTCATTGTAACCAGGTCTGTCAAAAGTGATGCCAGTAGTTGATTTTGTGTTTTTACAGTGGTGTAGGAAGAGAAACTTGAAAGGTCAATTCTTGGGCAGACTTGGCTTTCTCTACTTCGTGAGACATTGATGATTCCATTTTGAAGGCTAGCCAAAGAAAATTCCATACAAATTCCATACATAGCACACAGTGGGCAAACGACAAGGATTCCCACCCTCATGACAGTAATGCCCTGAACTGATTGGCTTTGGTACATCGTGATGCCTTTCTTTCTCTCCTGGCTGAATCATCTCAGTACCTAAACCAGTCCTCATAGTTGTGTTGTTTGTCATTGCTATACTTTCTTCCAAGCATTCTCAGCCGCAGCCTCTCTGAACGCATGCAGCCTTAAACTATCAAGTACATCATAGTCAATTTGAGTTTGTAAATGCTTATAAGAACAAGTCAAGATTATTGTTCACTTCAAAAATTGAAGGAGACACCTCAATAGGTGAACAGGAATTCTGCTAGAATATTTTCCCAAGTAAGCCTGACATACACAAACCCGCACACACAAAATACATCATTATAAAATTTGAAGTATCACAATAGATGCTTTTTATCCTGGACGTCTAAATATGAAGCAGCACAATTGAACATGCTTTCAGTTTGCTAACAAGGAATTCGTGCAGAATAATAATACAGGGCTGTGTATCACTGTCCAGCAAAAGGCACAAAATGGTGATGTGCCCATCAATAAAAATTAAGAGTGTTTTGTTAACTCTTTTCCCCTCCCAGCCTGGCATGCTTACTTGAATCCTGTCAAATTTTGCTAATAAACATCATTCCAGAACTCCTTTGTGTCTGGCACTCAGAGTTAAGTGTATAGTGTTATAAAGGAAACAGTAACACTGTGTTTATACTCAAAATTCTGTTGCACTTATAAACATGACTATGTAAGTCGGGTTGTGCACACCTGTAATCCCAGCACTTGGGAGGCTGAGGCAGGAAGATTGCCATGAGTTTGAGACCAGCGTGAGCTACATAGTGAGTACAAGGCCAGCCTGGACTATATAGTGAGGCCCTGTTTCAAAAATCAAACAAACAAATAAATAAATAAGTCTATGTAAACTTCTAGAGAATCTCATTCTGTCATTTGGGAACATCCATTCCCTATGGAATCATGGCCTCTAAACAGTAGTTTCTTGCTCACTAGAAGGACTTTTAAGTGAGCTTATTTGATCATTTAGCATTCTTAGTGTGAATATAAGCTGTTAGGGTCTTACTTTCATACTATTGTCAAGAATGTACCTCTTTGGGCCAGGGATTTAGCTCAGTGGTGCCGCCACCTGCCTCACAAGCGCAAGGTCCTGAGTTTGATCCCCCATACCCCCCCCAAAAAAAGAATGTACCTCTTCAAATTTGCACATTTTCTTGCATTTTTAATAGGATGATACCACAGATGCAAGGAAAATGAGGAAGAAAAGATAAAGGCAACTTCACTGAGAGATGTCTTTTTAGTTTTCATAATGCTTTGGGCTTTCAAGTAAGCATTCTTATTATCAAGCTCCCCCGGCTGCTCCAGCTCTCCTGCATATATCTACACATATACATGCATGCCTGTGTGTAATGTAATACAATACACATGCAGAGAATAAGAAGGCAGTGTGTGCCTCCTTTACCCATTTTACTTGCATTGTTCTTCTATTAACGGTGGAATTTTTGGCAGGGGTTGATGGCTGTCTTTTCTTATTTTGGCTTTCATTTAAGAATTAATTCAAGCCAGTGTAGTGGTGCATGCCTGTAATCCCAGCACTCTGGGAGGCTGAGGCAGGAGGATTACAAGCTCAAGACCAGGGGCAATTTAGGGAGACCCTGTCTCAAGAAAGGGATGGGGAGCTGGGGATTTAGCTCAGTGGTGCCACCGCCTGCCTTGCAAGCACAAGGTCCTGAGTTCAATCCCTGCTTCTGCAAAAAAAAAAAAAAAAAGGGATGGAGATATAGCTCAGTGAGAAGGCCCTGGGTTCAATCCCCAGCAACCCCCCCAAAAAAGAATTGAAAAGTCTACTCCCATGCCTGAGTCATGTGATCAATTCTGTGTGTTCTTTTTTCTATAAAAATAATTGTTTCAAACTATCATTGCTCTTTCTCCTTTTTGTTCCCCAGATTCGACAGACAAATCTGTCACTGGGTATGACTGGGGAGAGAAGAGAAACCATCTCACCTTAGAAAAGCGTTCTAATGGGGCCGGGGATTTAGCTCAGTGGTTCCGCCGCCTGCCTTGCAAATACAAGGTCCTGAGTTTGATCCCCAGTACCAAAAAAAAAAAA